ATCTGTGCCAACCAGATAGGAGTGCAAAATGAGATCCCAAAACATGAGTGAGAGAATATCTCCCAGTGTATAGATACCTCTATGTTATTTCGAAGTTTTGCAGGTATAATCTCAACCAAGTTCACTGATCCCGCCGAAAGAGTGTGACCAGGTAGTATCTACAAGTTTCCCGGGAAATTAGTATCTAACAACTGTTTACTGTTTTCATTGCCTGACGTTGTCTAAACGGAAATCCTATGGGTTTGGCCGACCCGGAGAGAGAAAAGATCTTAGCACAACCGTCTCTGCTATGAACTTAACCTCACTGCAAAAACCCTCTAAGAAATTTGTTTTTGTCTCCTTCTCGTAGACATCAAGCCCGCCATACTGAAAACGAGTTTTTGGCTTGCTCTTTAAAACAATGTGATGAGCTCAGTAGCTGAATTAAATTTGTTCAAAAGCAATTAAATGATGAATATTCAACAAACAACAGATGTGCAAAAGTCAGAATAAAAATAATTACCCCATAAAAAACATACAATTTATTTTATTATAATTGGGTTGCCTTTTGTTCTCTATTTTGTGCTTTAAATGGTATCGTAATGACATCTCTATACTTATATATTTTCATATTATATAATTTACGTTCCACTTGCATATAAAAAATATAAAAATGAGCACTTTAAATTCCACTTCCTTAAAAATGATGTGACCAAAAAGTAAAAACGATAGTAAATTCTCGAAATTTTTCAAATTTATTTCTACTTTAAAGACACTTAAGTCTATAGACAGATTCAGGTAATAAGATTTGTGAAATTAAATTTATGGCTCATGCCATTTAGGGGTGGGAAATCGTAAGGGCGAACACAAATTGTCATTCCTAAAAATACTACTGTGGGCAAAAAGTAAGTTGAATTTTTAATTTGAACTTCGCGCGTTAATTTTTATAATATTTTTTATAATTTCTTTTTTTTTTTTAATGTTGGTAGCACTGTTATTGACATCACCGCCAAGCTGCATCTCTGCAAGAATGCTTCCGATCATTTGAGGCAACATAATTTAGGAATGCATGACGACATATCCCGTCAGCTCGTAGAAGGATTTTCCTCTCACTTTCTTAAGGCCAATATAACGAACGTGATGTTTACATTTGTATAGGTGTTTTTCAATCTCTCTTCGTTTCCTTGTGCATTTTTGTCATTCTTGTTGGATAAACAGAACACAAATGAGCGACAGCATTGATGACGAAGAAGATCAGCTTTGACAAAAATTTAAAAAAAAAAATCGGTCGAATTTTTAATGAAAAAAGGGATTTTTCTCATCGACCATCCTCCGTATTCGCCTGACCTATCACCCTGTGACTATTTTTTATTTCCAAAACTGAAAACCAATATGAAAGGAGCATTTTATGATGATATCCCAGCCATTCAAGCAGTGGTAACCGAGGTACTGAAGAACATTTCTATAAATAACATAAAAAAAATCTATGCATGCGCTGGTTGATCGTTCTAAACGTTGTTTCGAGTCAAGTGGAACCTATTTCGAAAAAATAATAACTTTCAAAAATAATATAATGTGTATTTTATTTTATATCCAAAAAGTTCGGTTATTTTTGGGAGACACTATATACAAACATTATTAAGATTCAATATTTTATATAAATAATGTGTGTGTACATGTTTACATAGCATACAAAAGAAATAACAATACAACAATAAATCCATTTTCAAAAATCATACAAAAAATATTATAAGCAAAATTGCGTATACAGAAGTCCTAACTAGAGCGTTGAGTTGGTGATGACGCTTCTCAGCTCCACGAACGTCTTCCTTATAATCGCGGGTCCTTTGTGTGAAGATGCCTTAGTAAAATAAAAAATGAATATTCGTATCAGAATGTTATTAATATCAAAATGCAGTTGTACTTCGTACAGTTTTATTGAATATTTTTAAATCTGCTGTTGCGGCCAAGTGAGAAGCGTCCATTCCAGTCAATCTGCTCCATTAGCTGAATTTTCTGTACAATATGCAGTGCCCTTAAATAAAGAAATGTAAAGAGCAATGAAAAAGGAAGTACATAGTTGATTAATCGATAATATTATTACCACAGCTTGTACAGGATTCTCAGTAAATATTTCTCACTTCTATCTGCTGCGGAGAAAACGATAAAAAACGGCGTTCTACTCGAAAATTAAAACAAAGAAAATCGGATAATCCGTTCAACTACATTCTCTTTCAGTTTGTATGTACTCAAAAGAGAAAGATAAACAGAAAAACTTGCTTATGTGTTGGTGCTGCCCGAAATAGTGTAAGTGTATTGGTGAACCCATCAGGTCGTTCTTGCAGGGCTGTCAATGTCATCATTGGTATTTTAGTTACGCTTGCGTTTACTAAACGACTAACAGGCCTATTCTCACTGTTACCGGTAAAGTAAATTTTCAGTGAGCTCAGAATACGAAAAGGTAACAAAATTTACTGAATGGTAAATTTTAATACCTAGGTAAATTTTGTTACCTCGACAGAAAAGGCCTGTTAATTTAACAAAGAAGTGCGATTGTGGAACGATTTATCGGCTGTTGAAACGTTGGGGATGCTGCAGAAAGCCTTTGGAGACTCAACTATGTCGCAGAAGAACGTTTATAAGTCGTACAAAGACTTCAAAGAAGGTCGGAAACGTGTTCATGACTTAAAGCGCTCGGGACGACCATCAACGTCAACTGCTGTGCAACACGTCAATGAAATTTAGGAAGCAGTGCTCAAAAGGAGGAGATGAGACGTGGACTTAGCACCATGTGACTTCTGGCTCTTCAAAGAACTTAAGAGACCACTTCGAGGACACCATTTTGAGTCGATTGAGGAGATTAAAACGTGAAGGCCATACCAGAACGTGACTATTTGACAAAGCTTCGATAATTGGAAAAAGCGTCGGCATCAGTGAATTTCATCGGCAGTGGACTATTTTGAAGGCGACGAAATCGATGTAGAAGAATAAATAAAAATTTTTAATTTGACAAACAAATGCACCTTAGTTTTTGCCCACAGTGGTATTACTTTTCGTCTTAAGTAATCTTTCACTGGAATTATACTGGTCTTCAAATTGAAAACTGCAGATTTCCTTTCGAAATCAATTATAACTTCCTCTATTACTGTTACCCCAACGGTTTTATATCAGCTCTCATAATTGGCAAGTAATGCTTATTGGTTTTCGGAAAGTTCAATGAAAATGGAGATAAAACAGGCTAACTACCTCGACAAGTTGCGATCGATCACAACACGCGCGGGATAGAAATCATACCGAGAAGCAAGATGCAGGTCTATAGAATTTATGGAAAGAAAAATCATTCAGACTGCTGAATGGCAGTGAAACCGGTCCTAAATCGGTGACAAAGAAACAAATGTTTCATTGTTTGACAATAAAGAAGTTCGATTAGGAATAACGCAGTTGGAGCTGACTGCCTACCAGCAGAGTTATTCAAATACTGCCGAGAAGAGCTGACAAGGTGCAGCTCCTTTACTAAATATGATTCGACAAAGGTATGATCGACGCTTGTAACCTAAATGTGCTATGTCCAATTCACAAATAAGGCGACACTATGGTCTGCACCAACTATCGTGGGTTAAGACTACTCAGTATTGCACATAAGATCCTATATAACGGAGTTGGCGGAAGCACAGAGCCCATCTACAACAAACTGACTGGATTTAATTAGTATGTGCTTTAGATTTGAGAAATTTTCTACTGTTCAGATATTCACCAAGCAAAATATCAATGAAAAGAGAATCGGCACACCCCACTTCCTCGACGTCTTTAAATCAGTCTTCGACAGCACGAATGTTGCTGTGTCCACGATACCTGAATTTAGTAACCCCGAAAAACTTATGTATCTGCATGTCTCGTACTAATGTTAAGCAACACTAAAACCTCTGACAGGATCAGAGAGGACATCTTCGAGCCGTTCGATACCAAACGTGGTTTCAGACAAGGGCTTAAAGCTAGATAGACAGAGTACAATATTTTGCAAGAGTACAACTGCTGTTGTATGCCGATGACATTGATATCTTAGGTCTTAATAACCGCTTGGCCGAGCTTGTTAAGGAAGCGAAGCGAATGAGTCTAGTAGTGAACGAAAAGAAGACGAAATATCTTTTGTTATCGAAGAAAACTCATCGCCTTCGCTACTCGGTTCCAAAGTCACTGCTGATGGTGACAACTTTGAAGCCGTAGCTGATTTCGTCTATCTTGGTGGCAGTATTAGCACCAAAAACAATGTCAGCCTGAAAATTCTACACAGAATCACTCTTGCCAACAGGTGCTACTTTGAACTGAGGAGGCAACCGAAAAAATTAAGTCCTCTCTCGGCGAACGAAAACTAAACTTTACAAGTCGCTCACCGTTTCCGTCCTGCTATATGGTGCGATAGCATGGACGATGACATCATCTGATGTGTCGACATTAGGAGTTTTCGAGAGAAATGTTTTATCTTTATGGCCTTCTACGCGTTGACAACAGCGAATACCACAGCCGATGGAACAATGAGCCCCACAAGTTATACGGTGGCATAGTTCAACGATTCAAGCGACAGCGGCTATGTTTGCCAGGTCATGTGGATTCGATGGATGAGAGCACTCCAGCTTTGAAAGTTTTCGGTGCAGTACCCGCGGTTAGAAATAGAAAAGCTTTGACTCCGTTGGAAAGCTCAGATGTGGAAGGACCTGGCTGCACTTGGTATCTATAATTGGCGGGAAACAGGGAATGACGCACTGTTTTTAACTCGACTGTAATCGCGTAAGTGGTGTCTACGCCAGTAAATTAGAAGAAGAATGTGAATCTGGTGTGTGCTTGACTTGGGGGAGAAGCATTTAATTTTAGTAGATTGAAAACATTACTCACAGGCTGTAAGAGCGTGTCTCACAAGTATTTAACCCCATAGAGTTATTATTAATTTAACGATTTTTTATATTGTATTATACAAAATTTTCACTTTTCACTAACAACTTACCTTTTCTCCCTCTTCATTTCAGTGTGCTCAGTAGTGCAAGAAAATCATCTGCCCGCACAAAATGACTTGGATGCTGCGTTAGCGGAGAGTTTTTCTAATGGAATCGCCAACAGCACAGATTTGGTGAGAGCAGTGCGGGAATCAATAAGACAACATGAGCTCCTGCAACAACGAAATAAGCCTCGAAGGTTCGATACGAATTTCCTAATATAAATACAGTAAATAATATGAGTTCAACTTCTAGATCAAAGAGAGCGATTAAGCGCGTCTGCTATGGCGAACTTGGTTGCTTCGAAGATTCTGGCCCATTTGCCTATTTGGAAATGTTACCATCACCGCCAGAAGATATCAATACGAAATTTTATTTTTATTCCACAAAAAATCGTTCCGAGCGACCGCTCATGGAGTTGCCCTTTCTCAATATGACTGATGCCTTCGGCAAAATTGCTACTTCGTCGCATACTTTAAGACGCCGAACGGGCTTTGTCAATGAGACAAATGGCGGCGCTGACGACGCTACAAGTACAACAACTACAACGACAACAACCGCTAAAACAACTCAACGCAGCGTCTTCAAACGTACACCGCTGACGCTCGACGAGTTGCACGGCTTCGACGAACTGTCGGTGCGTGTCATCGTGCATGGTTTCGGCTCTGCTTGCCCGCATGTGTGGATTTATGAAATGAAGACAGCCTTGATGGCGGTGGTATGTTGGACAAGTGAAAATTTCGTGTTTAAAATTTTAAGATAAAATGTGTTTTTGTTTAACAGGAAGATTGCATTGTTATTTGCGTGGACTGGGAGAATGGCGCCACATTTCCGAATTACGTGCGTGCCGCTGCCAATACACGTCTGGTCGGCAAACAACTGGCGATGCTGTTGCAAAACTTGAAGGAACATAAGGGCCTCAACTTTACACGCACACATATAATCGGTTTTAGTTTGGGTGCACATGTGTCCGGCTTTGCCGGTGCTGAACTACCTGGCTTAGCACGCATCACGGGTCTCGATCCCGCTGGTCCGTTGTTCGAGGCACAACATCCTAAAGTGCGTTTGGATAATACGGATGCGGAGTTTGTGGATGTCATACACTCGAATGGCGAAAATCTAATTCTGGGTGGCTTGGGTTCATGGCAGCCCATGGGTCATGTGGACTTCTATCCGAATGGTGGACGCGTGCAGACGGGCTGTTCGAATTTATTTGTGGGCGCGGTGACGGATTTTATTTGGTGTGAGTAGTATAATAAGGCAATCCGGGTTAAAACGGGTTAAATCCAAAAAAAAAAATAAGAATTGAAGTTCAAAACCTTTTCAAGAATCCTCCAGAAACTTAAAAAAATTGCCGTCGTCCCTCGACAAGGAATGTAAAGCCATCAAAGTGTATTTCTGAAATGAAAAACATCCTTATAAAAATCCATCCGCCTTTCGGCTTAGGCGATCGTGCTCATCCTCCCATCGGCTGCGGTATTCGTTTTTGCCAATGCGGAAATCTTTCGCAAAACTTTTCACTCGAAAACTCCTTACACCGACTCATCAGATGTTGTCATTATACACGTCCTCGCAGCATATAACAGGACGGCAATGACAAGCAAATTGTGGATTTTGGTATTCATTTATTCACTGCCTACCCAGTCCAAAGTAGCACCTACTGGCTTCCTTTTCCAGTCAGGGTAAAATAGAACTCACAGCGCCGTTGTTGACGCAAATGATGCCAAAATCTTCGGCAGCTGAACACCTTTATAAGGTATTATCCCTTCTCTATTCAGCTCTGAAGCTCGTATTGTTTACTGCAGTTACACGATGAGGAATCACATTCTCTGCAACTTCGTTGGATATCGAGAGGTCCGAAGAGGCCCTTACCAAGCTCGGCAGAGATTTTGGTGTTGAGAGCCGTCGAAATTTTACATAGAATTCTCGACAATTAGCCTTGTCGGCCAGCTTCTCCAGCTCGTCTTACTCCCTCAGCTCAGACTCTTTCTTTTTATGCTTAAACATTTATCTTGCTTGCCTCTTTAATTCTGGGTTCTATACCACATTGAACGCGTTGTCGATCAAAAAGTCGTGAGGAAGCCTGTTTTCTCCTCACGGTACTTCGACACCTCTTTTTCTGGTACAGTCGAAAGCCAATCGTTTCCATAACGGAGGCACGGATGCTCGCGATGCTGCTGAACAACTCCCATATATTGAATCGCTGATGAGTGCTCTCCGAAAACAGCTGCTACAAGATAGTGGCCCAAATAAGTGTTGTGTTCTCGGAGCCTACATACTTCAAGAATACAAAAGACGCATAGTCCAGAGAATACTTTGATGTACTTAAACCACTGTGTAGTTTTATCGTTAACCACATAATTTTTCTTTGCAGCTGCTCAGACTGCTGACGAAGAGGAAGGTCGTTCTCTATGCAATCATCGACGTGCCTATAAGTTCTTTATTGACTCTGTCGCGCCGCGCTGCATGTTCCCTGCATATCCGTGTAATAACTATGATGACTTTATTAAAGGTGATTGCTTTCCATGCGCACAAAACGATGACGACGTAGCCGAAGGTGTACCCCGCTGCGGTAATATGGGTTACTATGCTGACAGATCGACAGGGCGGGGACAGCTTTATTTGCTGACACGAGAGGAGGAGCCATTTTGTGCGCATCAATTCAAGCTGGAGATTTTTAACTCCTTCAATGATTTGCCCTTGCGCACTATTGGTCGTCTCGAAGCTACACTTGAAGGTGAAGGTGGTCTAAATGAGACATTCAAGATATCGGAGTGAGTTTAACTGAATATTGCCACCTTACGTGTTCATAATAACAACTATGCATACATTCTTTTACAGAAAGGACGACTCGGAGTTCTTTGCTGGCGATATTGTATCGAAAATCATTGTACCACATCCAGCCTTGGGCTTTCCAACAACACTCAGCTTGCACTACAAATCCTACAGTGGTTGGTTGTCCAAGGGCTTACCGCACTGGGATATCGACAAAGTTGTACTAACCGACAGCTTCGGTCGCAGCCACTCACTCTGCAAGCCGTCGACTAAACTTTCATCCGGCACACCGGTACGTCTGAAATTGCTCTCAGGTAACTGTGAGTTGGAGAATCAGGAGGACTATGGCACTTATAATGTGCCCACCACTTTGGTGCCTGATTCGAACGGACAAGAGAGCGTCGCTGACAATGTGGAAACCGATAGCGTGGACGCTGCAAAACAAAGTAAAGATTATTTCAATCTCGGCACAAGTTTTCGCATCGATCAGAACAGCACATATGGCGACAACGAATTGCCATGGCAACCCATTTTCGAGGGTACCAATTCGCTGGACAAAGATGTGGTGGCTGAGTCAAGTCGCAGTATATCGGTAGAGCCAACGGAAATATTTGAACCGATATTAAATGATCGCCGGCTGGGGCTGAAGCATGCACGCAACTTGCAGGAATATGGCGTAACAACGGAGGAGATTGTAGAGCCAGTCCTGAAGGCCACCACACCGCGTGTGAAAAAGGCGAAAGAGATCGTTTTCACCGATTCACCGTTAGGCGATAAAAAGCCTGAAATTATAAAAATTACACCCATATCTGTACGCAATGGACCAGAGTTGCCAAAGCAGCCTAGCAAACAAGACGAAGTCATAACCGTTCAACTGCTACCATTCCGGCTCGGTGATTTACTACAACGTGCCGAACGTTATGCACGAGAGACACTGCTACCGTTAATTTCTGTACAAGCGCCAAAATTCTTTGGTTTCAATGTTGGTGGCGTTGTTGGCACAGCCACAACCAGCAGTAGTACTGAAGAACCAGCTGCTTTGAAGGAAGAACCACGTAAACCACGTTACATACCACGCTTTGAAGAAGCGTCTTTTCTGCGTGACAAACGTGTGGAGCGCAAACCGGTCAAAGACCTCACAGTGTCTGAGTCGAGAACGCAGCGTAATATTTTCAAGCTCTTAAGGTCGGAGCGACGGGAGAAAGGTGAAGATGGTGGTGGCGTTGGCGTTGGCGTTGCCGCTGGTCCAGCTAGTACCAGCGTGAGTCGTTTGGGGCAAACACGCACGTTCAGCGACATTAATTACTACACAAATATGATGCTTACCGAATCGAGAGCATTACGGCCGGAAGATCCCAGTTATGAGCCGGTATTCATAGAGTTACCCACCTACAGGCCAAGTAAAAAGCCAAAGCACTTAGTTGAACCGCAAGCTTAGTGTATTTGAGCCAGTCGTCCTTAGTAGCGACCAAAAAGAAAAAAAAAAATCACACGAATTTGTCATAATCTTCGTTTGAAAGCACTTTACTGCTTTCATCCGAAGATGCACTTAGCTTTCGGCTGAATTAAAAGGAGAAATAAAATAAATTCTAATTAATGAATAAAAATTGTACAGTTAATAAATAATGAATAATTGTGATCGCCATTACCGAGCAACCCTGTGAGCTCATTACTCTGGGCTGGTGTTAGAAGGTGTCAAGCCTCTGATTCGCGTTTAGTCGTGTAAAAATATTTCATATTTCCTACGCACCTTTCCCTAGAGAATATTTAAATTAATTTTTGAAATTTTTCTGTAAATACTTCTGAACTGTCCACTCATAGGTTAAGTAAAAGCTATGCATAATTAATTGAATTAAGGAAAAGCTAATTATGAATTTGTATGTATCTTAGCTCGGAATTAGGTTTACTAGTTTGCGGGACATCGTGGCCAAGCCACTTTGAATTTGTCTAGGATTTAAGTATATTTAAAATAATTGAGTTTATTTTATACGAATAAATTATTTAAATTTAAAGAAAATTTTAAGAAAATGAGTTCATTTGGAGTGTTTGTAATAAGGATACACACGCAAGTAAGTAAATATGTAAGATTATCCAGCGAAAGGTTGCGAGGTTGCGGACTCTCAATGCGGCAATACTTTGTTTTTTGTACTTTGGTCTTTTTGAAAGCTGTTACTTGTTGGTTTGCACTAAGATTGGCTTGCCATCCGGAACAACATTTCCAAAACGTAGAAATTTTTTACCAAAATATTGCATGCGCGCTGCCTCTATTATTCGGCCTACATAATCGCCCAGCAGAGTCTGTAATTCGAGCCACTAAAGATGGGTTTCGTGCCACGTTCACGCCAGAAGTTAATATGTATCCCCAGAGACGTCGTACAGTGTGCTCGGATGACACTACTGCTGCTGTGGAACAGAGTATCGATAAAGACCCGAATAAGTTAATTCGATCGTGCGCGCAACGATCGGAGCTCTGCCTGTCTATGTTATAGAAGATTTTGCAGTGGTCTGAGAGCCTAAAAAACCGAACTCTTCTTAAGAAAATTTTTTTCAGCGTTGAAGCTCGCTTTTGGTTAAATCGGTACGTTAAGGGGTTGTACAAATTTATAAAAGATTTTACCTTCTCTATTCAGCTCTGCAGCTCTTATTATGCTCTCCAGCATCAAATTGAAGAAATCCCACGATAAGAAGACACCCTGTCTGAAATCTCGTTTGGTACCAAACGGCTCGGAGAGATCCTTCCCAATTCTGACTGCGCTTCTGGTATTGTCTGGCGTCAGCTTACACGGTGGCACAAGTTTTTCGGCGATACCAAATTCAGACATAGCGGCGTAAAGGCAGCTGCTATTCGTGCTGTCGAAGGCGGCTTTAAAATCGACGAAGAGTTGGTGTGTGTTGGTCCTCTTTTCACCGGTCTTTTCCAAGATGCCACATTGTGAACATCTGGTCAATGGCTGCCTTACCAGGGCTGAAGCCGCACTGATAAAGTCCAATCCGTTTGTTGACGGTGGGCTGCAGTCCTTCACACAATACGATCGACAGCATTTTATTGACTTATACCACGATATTTTGCGCAGTTTTTTATGGACTGGGCAGAGTACACTTAAATTCCAATTGTCGTGCACGCTTTCGTCCGAACATATTCTGCATGTAGCTGATTCATGCCCCTTGTCAGCTACTCCCCACCATATTTGAATAGTTCTGCCGGCTGGCTGTCAGCTCACGTCGCTTTGTTGGTTTTTAAGCGGGCGATTGCTATTCGAACTTCTTCATGGTCAGGTAATGGAAATGTCTTTTCCATCGCCATCGATTGGGGTTTCGGTTTTACCAGCTCCGTATACTCCATTTCCACTGCTATTCAGCGGGCTGGGGAGGTGTTCCCTCTACAAACTAAATATACTCTGGACATCGGTGGCGAGATCACCTCTTTGTGTCGTACAGCAGTCTGATCCGGTCTTGAAACCTACCGTAAGTCGTCGTATCTTCTTGTAGAATTTTCGAGCATTACCCTTGTCGGCCAGCTTCTCAAGCTCTTCATACTCTTGCATCTCGGCTTTTTTCGTTTTTTGTCTGCATATGCGTCTTGCTTGTTTGACAATTAAGTTTGACAAATGTCTAAATGCAACCCTGTACTATTGAAACCAAGAAATGCATAACTCAATATATTGAAAGTGGCCGGTTTCTTTTGAAGCTTGTCAGAAATGTCGTAATAAACAAAATGATATTTTGGAATAATTTTCTAATCTGAAATTAAACTCGATCGATTTAATATTTTTGTTAATTATTCTCCTCTTTTATTAAGATTTCTACCAAATTTTCATTTTGGCTTTTTAAATTAAGATGTGTTTTGTTTTGTTTTCTTTTCTGTTCTCATTTTTCTAGTAGTACGTTTACATTTATTTAATTATTTTTATTATTTATTTTTATTTTTTATTTTTTTTTGTTGTTTTGTGTACACTTAATAAATTTCGAATTATTTTTACGTTTTTTTTTTTTTTTCTATTTATATACATATATTATATATTTTTGTATGCATTTATGTACATGCAATTTACTCTTATTTCTTGCTTACAACATGTAACTATTAGTATGTAAAGGGCAAAATATTCAACTGAATTTATGTTTTTTTCTGCATCTTTGCACAAAGGATTGAAAATTAAAAATCTCTCGGTTGTTGGGAAAAACGTCGAAATGTTTAGAAAAAATGTGATTTTTTTTAACGAATCAATTTTTTGTTTAGCGAAATAATGAAATTCTGTTTTTGTTTGTTTTTGTGTTTGTTTTTTACTCAAATTGTTTTTGCTTTCATTTCTTGTTTTAAACGCATTTATTTTCCCTTCGATATAAATCATAAAAACTCTTTGACAAAAAATTTTTAATATCTGTAAAAAGTAACGCCAGCGTCACAGTCATTTCATTACAATATATTTTAACTTTTTTTTTTGTTGGTTTCATATTATTTTTATTTTTGTTTTAATTTTTATTTTTTAATTCTCACAATTTATGGAATTTAAACACTAAATATTTTAGCATACTGGCTTTTCATTTAATTTTTGTTTTGAATTTTTAATGTAATGTAAGATTTGTGTGTGTGTGCGTGTGACCATCAAGTTTTTCTTCACTTCTTTTTTTATAATTCTTTCTTCTACATTTTCTTTTTTATTTCCATTTTCATTTCTATATTTATTATTTAATTTTAACTTTGTTTTTTTTTTATTTAATTTTTATTGCACTATTCTAGTTATTATTATTATAAATATTATTATGTAAATATTTTCTGGCCTTTTTGGCATACATACGTACACATAACGTATCTATATATGTATGTACAAATAATGCATAGCTGCGCAAAGTTACTGGCAAACGATTTTGTTTTTATTTTTATCAACTTTTTATTGAATTCACACACATATTTACGAATTTTCCGCACACTTTCTTGGTTTAATATAAGTACATATGTACATATGTATGCATAAGTATGTATGTATCTAAGCTATACACAAGCTAAGATGCGTCGATCTTTTAGTTACATACATACATACATATATACTATGTGAATTACACTTATATTTACATACATATACTCGTATGTATGTACATATATATATGTGCATGTATGCTGTATGTTTTACCTTAATTATTGTATTTAATTATTTATCAATGTAAATATGTACGTATTGTTATGCACATAAGTACTCACTAACTATTTTGAATTATTATAATTTTATTTCAATTAAATAGTATATTTATTATGCATTATATATAAGCATTTACATACATGTAAATATGTATGATTTATGTATGTATTATTTTTATGTTGTATGTTGCAATTAATATGCATAGATAATAATGAAGTTTGGTATTTATTGAATTTATATGCAATTATTATAAATTATTTTACTCTCTAATCAATCACAACACATCTATCTATATATACATACATATATCTAAAGTCACATTTTTTACTGTCAATTTTTATTAAACTAAAAATGTAGAAAAATATGATTTTGATAAAATGAAAAAATTTTCCATGAAAAAATTATGGCAAATGAACATACGTACATACATACATACATACATACATATATAGTATGAAGTAGTCAAAAGACCAGAGCATTTAATTTTATTATTATTATTGGCGCTTTGAAACGATTTTATGCCGAACTTCCGCTCCATTCTGTGGTTGCTTTTCCAAAAAATGCAGGAACGCATAGCTTATATTCAGCCAACCTCTGAACGGTCGATGAGCTTATATGCGGAGCTTTTACTTCATACAGAAATTCAGTTGGAGGCACCACATTTCCTGTGAAGAAAAATTAATTTTCCAAAATTTGGTATGTTGTTCGGATAAGCACTTCAGCAATAGCAGCCAAAATGAATGTTTAATTATAAATAATTAATAAAGTCAAAATCCATTATAGAAATTTACTTTTTCTTTTTCTTAAAACATTTCAAAGCCAACAACATGTATAGACCGAGACGATTCACAAAATCGGGAAATAGCAGATTGAATTATCAAAAGTTCGATATAGAATTTGCCAACTCGATATTACTGAAAATTCTACAATCGTTCCACTTGACATGCGATTCGAAATGAAATTCTATGGAAATAGTGAATGGCGCACGATTACACCGGGCAATATTGGTATTTAGATATTTTTTTTTTATAGTTATTAAGCGCTTTGCCCTGAATGACTCACCCACAGTCTAACCATTGACCGCAGAGACGTGAAACTTGGTGGAGCAGAGAATATTCTATTCGAAAGAATCGTGTTAAGAGTTCAATTTGCTTGCAATTTTAGCATTGGTAAAAAGAAATCCATTATTTTTCCAATAAATGGCGTAAATTATCTCTAGCGCGCGTTGTGTTAGTCCGATCGGGTTCCACTAGATGGTGTTAGAAAGACGACATTTTGTAGTAAAAAAGCTTTTCAGACAGTTTTGTGATTGGCTGATTCAGTTTTGGTTGGGCGC